TTTGAATTGCTTATTCTCTTCAATCAGGTTAGTACGAGCACTCTGGAACTCATCTAGTTCCTTCTTCAGGTTCTCGCTGGCAGATAACACTCTTTGCAACTGCACTTCCTTGGACTTAAGTTTACTGACGACTTTCTTAAGTCGAACCATGTCATTATGCATGACAAATAACTTTACATCCTTGGTATTCACGAGCGGACCAAAGTTCTGAAATGGCCTACTCAAGGTTCTACACTAGCAACGCTTAGACATCAATCTTTTTCTTTGCAATGCCATACTTCCCCTGGATGACATCAAGCGAAGTCTTTAAGTCACTGATCTCTTGGCAACGGTCTCAAGCTGCAGAGCAGTAAGGGCAGAGACATCAGAGCCCTTCAAAAAGTCAAGTTCAAACTCCAACACTTTAATTTTCTCAACAGCTAAGCAAGCCTCTGCTACCATAGATGTCACTATCTCCTTAGTAACTTTGGCGTTATCCTGCTTCATATGAGTCATCATAGCGAACAGGAAACCCTTCTGTGATTGAGTCTTACGCCTTATAAAGAAACTGAAGTCAACAACTTTGCTAACTCCATAAAAAAACTTGGCACATGCTTCCGTGTCCTCAAGCAAATCGGGCCTCAACAGTGCATGGATCGCAAAAAACTCCCCTAAGGCTGGTTATTCATTGTTGCTCGTGTGGGCAAGTGTTTTCTTCTCAACAAAAGGGGCCAACCCTAGCATAGCCTTAGTAGTGAAATCATTAATTTCACTCTTTTCCGTTGCGCGCTCCTCCAAGATTAGATTTGACTTAGACACGGAAGTCTATCTAGGAATAAAACTAGGCAAAAAGGGCATGGCAGAACTCCTCCACTGCCTAATCTTGTTAGCAACAGGTTCTAGCAACCTTGGGAGCAGCAGGTTTCACAGGCTCAGATCCATCAGCCTTTTTCTTCCCCTTGGAAGAAGTTCAGTCAATCATGAGCCTCTCAGTAGTAGACAGACTTTCACGATTAGTAGAGGAAGCCCTTGGCTTCTTCTCCATTGAAGGGATCTCAAGCAAGCGACGAAGATCTCTTTTTCCCACCTTCACTAGCAATTGGCTCCACGGTGGCAATCAAAAGAGCAAACGCCTCACCTTTGATCCTCTTAATCTCCTCATTCGGGGGAAGCCTACCTTTCTCCCTACAAAGAGGATTGAGCAACCAACGCCACTCATGATATTCAGAAGGGATCCCTAAAGCAATGTGCACCTTCTTCATGTATAGAGAAATTTTGGGAGTTAAACCCAATTCCAAATCTACATAAACAGAGGATGACAAATTAAAAGGCAGCTCAACAAAAGTATTAAGCAACTTAGAGACTAAGCAGCCCATTTACCATCTATGAAAGCAGTCAGAATGCGCAGCCCAGGAGAGGAGTTGGATCCCTACTTTCTACTGATTTCTAGGGTCTTCCTGGCCCAATCATGATCCCCTTTGCTTGCATGATCGAAGAGCCTATGGTGAGTCCTTAGCTACCCAACACCATCAATGTGGCATATGTCAAAGAAGTACTAAAACTCATCGACAGTCAGGTCCAAGTCAAAGAACCTGCTCAAGTTACAGAACCCCGCCATTACGCGGACTGCGTTCGATTAACACTGAGTAGGAGCACACTTCATGGACCAAATCACCGCCTAGAAGAATCAAGGCATAGGAAAGGTGAACCCCAGCACAAAGTAGTAGGGGTGAAACTTGATAGCTTTCCTAGACCCACACGATTCACGGATGCTAACTTCCTTGGCCCGCTTCACGTGAATCCCAGACGAAATTGCATGCATAAACATCTTGAGGAAGTCTTTGAACTATTTATTGAAACCTACTTTGATATGAGCAACCCTGAAGTAACCTAGCTTACTTGCAAATCCGCCCTGGTAATACAACTGTGAAATAAATTATCATTCTTGTGGCTTAAGGAAGACATGTTTGAAAAAAATCTTACAACGGCGCAAGAAAATATTGTTAGAAGGTTGCTCGGAGAAGAAAAAAATATTTTAAAGAAAGCGTAGAGCCTAGCAGCCAGCCTAGTCCTTTTTCGCATCCTAAAGGCCTTGCAGCCCAAACCAACAAGAGAGGGACTGGCACTTCCCTCCCCCCTCCCCCGGCTCGCCCGCCTCTCTCTCTCTCTCTCTTACTGCACGGGCCCAAACCCAACAGCTTCTATAGCCATATGGGCCTATACCTAATGGCCCATCTCGAGCAGCCTAGGACCGGCACCCTAGCGCCTGAAGGAAAAAATTGATTTTACTAAGTTCATTTGAGAAACATCTACACATCCAATTAACAATTGAAGGCGAAATCATGCTTGTATGTACTCAAAAACAAAAATTTGCCCATTAAAATTCAAAGCCTAGTAGTGGTGAACCAAGACTCAACTCAAATCAAAGAGAAAGCCGTTGAGATTTTTTATACCTTTGTTGAATCCTCTTTGCATAAGCAAAGGTTAATCACCCAAAAGAAAGGGCCTTCATTCCTTGCTTCTTGGCTCCGTAGGTATCTTGGGATGAGGGTGGAAGAATGGATTCTCCAAGTTCCCAAGAAAGAGAACCTTTAAGTTTCCACACCAAGAAGAGAATTGAAGAAAATACGAGTGACTTGGAAAGGATTTGATGCTAGTTAAATCATCCCTAAGGGCCGGCCTTCTAGAGAAGAAAGAGAGTTTTTTGTGTTTCTCTTTCTTCTCTTAAAAACCCTAATGAGGGAATGAGTTATAATTTCCTATCTAACCTGCAAGTTTTGAGCGTTAACAATTTTACGCCGTCTATGGGAATCGCATACAATTTGGTTGTGCTTTCTACCCATCTAACTTAGACATTCTGCGATGAAGAAATAACACTTACCCGAATACCATGATGGACAATAAGGAAGAAAAGAAGACCACTGATTCGACTGAGCACGCAACAGTATTGCCCACCTCCTGTAGGGAGTCTACTGCACCAGATCTGAATGATGATGAGGGTCGAGAACACCTTGAGCAAATGGAAGGATTAGAGACTATTATACAGTTAGAATAATGCCCGACCAGGACCGTTCAAATGGTACTAAACTAATAGCAAAGTTCTGAGCGGATTGATATAATTTTTTAAGACCCACCCTAATGTATTTGATTGGTCTTACACAGACCTGCCGAGAATAAATCTGAACGTCATCTAACATAAATTCAGCCTCGACCCCACTACATACCCATTAGGCCGAAGTCGCACAATCATATGATGCTAAGTGTTATGAAGCCATGAAAGTGGAATTGGATAAACTACTCATCATCAAATTTATCAGAAATGTGAATTACCCTAGCAAATGTTGTGATGGTTAAGAAGGCAACAGTGGTCAGCAAACTGACCAAGTAAAATACACGTGACATGAGTAAAAGTGAGAAGGTTAAAATGAGAACTACTCTTTCTAATTATACAGGTGCACGTGACTAGGGATGGGCAACAGTTACGGCGGACAGGCAACTGCGGTCATTTACCCGTAACTATTTAAGCCCTTGCCCGCATAACCGTTTACCCATTGGGTAATTGCATAAACTGATATACCTATACCCATAACTGTTTATAAACGGTTAGCCGTACCCATAACCGCATACTTTTTTTAACTGCAACCGCATACCTGTTTAACTATAACCACATACCCTTTTACTCATTACCCATTTTTAACCCCTTTTTTACCCGTTTACCATTTTCTTTTACTCGTTTATCTTTTTTTCAACAAGTTAAAATTTGAAAAAGAAATTTGTCATAATTTTCTTTGTTGACAATTCAACATTGTTATAGAAACATTTAAAATGCATATCGGTATTTCAATCTTTAAATCCTCATAACATTTCGAAAATTGAAATAATGGTTTACAATGTTAAAACCAAACAGTAGCCTCAAGTTGTTCCTCTTCTTCATTCGATTTCCGGATTGTGCCCTAATCAAAAACACAACTGGGCGGCAGGGCTGGTGTATATCATTTAAAAATCAAATTATATTTCGTCACAGTGCAAAGTTCTGACCTATGGTACATTAGCATCTCTCTCAGTTACGATCACTTAAAAATCAAATGCTGAAAAGGAAATAGAACGCTACAATTTCAAGGGTAATTCAACATAAAAAAAATTGATTAGAAAGAACAAGTTTGTATCAGAATCCTAGTACCAAGTAGATGTTTGTCATAATCCTAGTGCCAAAGAGAGACTTTTTTTTTTTTTTTTTTAATGAACGGTTAAATGGGTACCTGTTTGTAACGACGCATAATACCCATAATCGTCCATTTATATTTAACAGACTCATAACCGTTTATTTGTTTAAACGGTTACCTATAACAGTAATCGTAAATTTTAAATAAATAAATAACTGTAGTTATCTATACCCGTAGATATTTTACCATCCCTACATGTGACGATGGCAAATGGTAATTTTCCTATTTGGGGATGACATAATGAAGTTCCAACCAGACGTCAACTCAATCATTTATCAAGTTGGGTTGGGTTGATGCTTAACACAATTTTTAGCCCGAATTTGCTCATCCACAGTTTACGCATCCCACTCCAATGTAATAGCTACAGTTATTTGTGGTAGGGGTTGTTCGGATCGGATCTCGAACCCAAAAGCATAAAACGAATCACGAACAGATCACTTTCGACACAAGATTTTGAAAATCGAAAACGAACCAAAATTTAGGTGTTCCAAAAAGAGTTTCAGTATTTTGGTACAGTTCGGGATTGGGCCTTTAGATAACAATATCATGCACTTCATTCGATTCTTTAATTCATCCAAGCATATCACAGACAAAGCAAATGAGGTTTAATATCAGTGCGGCGACGGATAAATATACCTTCTCATTCTCCAATTTGAGAACCTTGTGACCTCTGCCACACTTTTGACCAACCGATCTGAGCTCTGCTACTGTGTTCTATTAACGTTTATTCCAATAGCTCCGAATCACAGTTCCCTGCATGGGACACAAAAATGCAGGCTTTAATTAACGTTTATTAAAGCCGACTAGTAGTGCACTTATTTTTCCCGATTCTTAAAACCAAAATGGAGTCCATTGCATTTCTCTTAGCCAAAAAGTTATCGACTCGAAGCAACCGACCAAGAGCCAAAATCAACCCCAATTTGCCACCTGGTAGGAAACGTGGAATGCAACTAGAACAAAACAGTAAGGAGTAAGGACCCCCTAATCCATCCTAAATCCACCGACATTGCCATTCATCACTCTGCATGCAAATCAACGTGTCAAACTCTCGTCCCACAATACCATGCACGTAGCAGCTACCACCGCACCCGACCTCCACGTGTCACACTCCCAGAACTTCACTGATTATATATACGACCACCTCTTGCCTTCCGGAGTACCAAAATAAACAGAAAAGGAGAGAAATCAAAAACTCGAAAACCATTCCAAGTGTTTGCTTGAAAAAAAAAAAAAAAAAAAAATTTCGTGTCTAATTTCGAAGTGCATTTTGTGGGTTTTCAATGGCGTCGTCCAAGCAAATGGAGGAGGAGACAGCTGCCAAAGCAGCAGCGAGGCTCGCTGCCCATGAACCGACAGACGTTAACAGAGGTGTTGTTAAGGAAGAGACGGTCAGGGTGGAGACTACTTATGTGACTGATGACCTGGGGAGGCCAATAGAGTTTGCGCAGCGCGATGAGAAGCCCGGTGTGCTCGGGTCAATGATGAAGGCGGTGACAGGGACTTTGGAGCATGCCAAGGAAGCTGTGGTGGGGAAACACCACGAAGAAAGTCAGGTTCAAGAGAAGGGCAGGGAGTATACCACCCAGAAGGGGAAGGGACCACTGATGCAGCCGGGGGGAAGATAAACAAGTATACTGGAGCCGCTGCAGATAAGGCAAAACAAACGGCGGAGAAGGCAAAGGAGAAGAAGGAAGCGGCTAAGGGGAAGGTGGGTGAGTATGCGGATTACACAGCTCCAAAGGCGAAGGCAACTAAGGACACTGCTGCTCAGAAGGCGAACGAGGCGGCTCAAAAAGCAAAGGAGACCAAAGAAACGGCTGCTCAGAAGGCAAAGGAGGTGAAGGATACAAAAATGGGAAAAGCGGGCGAGTATACAGACTATGCTGCTGAAAAGGCAAGAGAGAATAAGGGCACCGCGGCTCAGAAGGCGAAGGAGGCGAAGGATACAACAATGGGGAAAGCAGGCGAGTATACAAACTATGCTGCTGAGAAGGCAAGAGAGACCAAGGACACCGCGGCTCAGAAGGCGAAAGAAGCAGCAAACAAATCAATGGAGACAGCCTCTCAGTACAAAGACTATGCCGCTCAGAAGGCAAAGGGTGCTAAAGACACAACAGTGGGGAAAGCGAGCGAGTACACTAACTATGCAGCCGAGAAAGCAAAGGAGGTACAGGACACAACTGTGAACAAAGCTGGCGAGTACACCAACTACGGCACCGAGAAGGCAAGGGAGGCCAAGGACACAACATTGAACAAGGTGAAAGAGGCGAAGGACACAACGATGAACAAAGCCGGTGAGTATACCAACTATGCCACCGAGAAGGCCAAGGAGGCCAAGGATACAACGGTGAACAAAGCTGGTGAATATACCAACTATGCTGCTGAGAAAGCCAAGGAGGCCAAGGACACTACAATCAACAAAGCTGGTGAATATACCAACTATGCGGCTGAGAAAGCCAAAGAGGCTAAGGATGCGACGGTGGAGACGCTAAGGAAACCAAGGACTATACGGCAGAGAAGGCAAAAGAAGGGAAGGATACTACCGTGAGTAAGTTGGGTCAGCTCAAGGACACCGCTGCTGGCGCCGCTCAGAAGGCCGTAGAGTACTTGTCCGGCAAGAAAGAGGAGACCAAGCAGAAGGGTGTCGAGACTGCCGGGAAAACAAAATACATGACTTATGAGACTGCAGAGAAAACCAAGGTATAATTACTACTGATCAAAATTACTAATTAAGAATTAGTAATCTTGATTAACACAGGTACGCTTATATAAAGAAACGACATTGGATTTATCGTTTTATTAATGATCTAATTTGTGTTTTCTAGGAGAAATTGAGTGAGACTGAGGAGAAAGCGAGGAGAAAGATGGAGGAGTTGAACAAGGATGAAGATGCTAACAGGGCACGTGAGGCATGTGAGCAAGGGACTACGGGGAGGAGGACAATTCCCGTTGTGGAGAGGGTGGAGGTTGACGTTGCGGAGACGAGGCCTGGTGACGTGAGTCGTTTGGACGAGGAGGGGAAAGCGCGAGTGGAAGTCCGCATCGACGACGAGGGCAAAGTGCGCGTGGAGCGCCCTGGCAAAATGTGATCGCTTCCGGTGTGCGTAGCGGGGACCGGACTCCTTTGTAATGATTCGTACTTTAGTTTTTCTGTCGTATTTTGGGTATGCTGTCTTTTGGCTACATAAATTGGCTTCGTCCTCTGTATCATGTTCATGTAGAACATGATAAATTAAAATAAAAAAAAATAATAAAAAAAAAAGATAATAACTGGAGCCGAATTTTTTCACCTGTCAACGAGCCCATCAGCCTGAGAACAGCATTCAACGAATCCATCAAGCATCTTGTAAATTCGTAATGCAAGAGAGAGGAATTAATTGCCCATGACGATAGAAGTGAAGTTAATTATGTGATTTTGAGAGTGATTGGTTAGACATTGGCCATGTTTAAAATGTTTACGTAGTCCACATTTCGTATAGCCACGTGATTACTTGGGTGAATTAACAACGATTTGCACAAGTATCTTATGTAGTGGGCATTATCCAAATGAAGTCGAAGTTAATCTGCCTCATGAGTGTGTCATGTTATTTTGATGGCCTGCAACATTATTCACCTAAAATTGCTCATATCTTTGCTAATTATTATTTGAAGATAATGTTGCTAATCGTTCTGAATAGTTTTATGAATTTTGAGAAGAGTTGCATTATTCACCCAAGAGTTGCTAATTAATTCAACACAGAAGAGACATGCCGCATGGTTCCATTGGCTAAAACAGATTTACTCTCTTCATGTGCAACCAAATTAGAATGGTTTATTACCCTAGTTTAGACTAGTTTAATCACTTGTATATAAAAAAGGAAAAAAAAAAATCAATCCAATTGTGTTCTAAACGATATTCATCAAAATTACTGGGAGAATTTAAACTTTGATGCAAAAAGCAAAGCGTATTCTTCTAGCCAACTTAACTAAGCTCAAGTATGCACAATGTGATTCGACAAAAAAAAAAAAATGTGCACATTGTGTTTGCTAGTTTTTGTCTTTGTTCCTTTTCCTCGTATTATAACACGTGAAGTATTGCTTGAATAACTTACGCTTAGAAAAATCTCTCTCCTTGATAGAATTAGAAAATCACTTGAATAAGAAAACAATATTGTTTGTATTATACTTCGCTAACCTCGAAACTACCGAGCACCTGTCAACTTTATACTTTCGAAGACTAACTAAAGAATTCATGGTGAGGTACCTATAAATGCTAAAACACACGAGTTCCTCTTCAATCAAGAGACCAATAATCACAACATGACATGTGTCGACACCATAATAAAGCTCGTAGAGTCCTCCATTGACCGTGGACGAAAACATGGGACTCTCCTCAGCTATAAAAGAAGATCATTATCCCACAATTAATCTCTAATGCTATTATTCTACTTAATCAATTAGATTTTACAATTGTACATGACAAAATGTCAATGGGTGCGTTGCTGGGGATGAGGGGTGACGAAAGACTATTCATCTTCTGCAAAGAGGATTCTTTGGTCTAGAAAAGAAATCCTAGGAGTGAAGGTTGGATTGTTGGAAGCATTTGGTATTTATACACCTGTCCCTCAAATGCATCAAAATCCCTCACCCATTAAAATCCTAGCAAATCTTTCATATTCTCACAACACCTAGAATGTGTGGACTTTTTTAAAATCCTAATCAACTACAGCTGGATTTCGATGTATTCTTTAAAATTTTCTCAAATCCTAACTTGACTGCACCATGATTTTAGAATCTTTTAAAATCCTCTTTCAGAATTATAATTGACTACACCCAGATTTAAAGTCTATTAAAATCCTATCAAATCCTAATTTGACTACACCCCTCTTAAACCTTTGTATCATGTAAACTCTACATTATCAATGGGAACTCCTCTACCCTCGTGAACGTAGTTCAACTTAAGGTGAACCAAGTACATCATATGTTTGCTTCCCTACTTTTATCTCTTTACACACTACCCATACTTGATGACCAAAGCAACCTTGCTAAGGTCATACCTTGACACTTTATATTGTTCGAGAGTTGACCTGGTTTTGTGCATCAATATTTGGCGCTGTTTATGGGAACGACACCGACTCCTACTCTTACCAACTTTGTCAAGCTTATTTCCATCTTTCGTACACTCTCTTACGATCAAGCATCCATCTCCAATATAAGGAGTGAGGGGAGTCACAATGTGACATCTTGTCCCGAGTTTTGTTGTATTTTATTCTTAGTAGTAGTGAAATTATCAAAATACTCCTGAGATGCCACATAGGCCTTCCACATGGACTTCAAATTTTCATTTCATCTTTCTAGTTTTATTTTACTATTTTTGAATAGTACTCATTTTTACAAATACGTGGCTACAAATGGAACTCAATTCGAAGTTATAACGAACAAGTTATAATCGACACATTATAAATTCACTTGAGAGAGGTTCAAACTTTAAAAACGAACCTCGTGCAATGTGCACCGCTACCTTGTTCTGGCGTGGGAAGCATATACCAGCGTTCAAAAAGGCTTAATGCTGAAGGATGGTGTGCAAGTTGCTTTAAACAAATATTATTTTGGGTTTTAGAAACCCAAAACTAGCTCCATCACACATCACATCATTTTTCTTTCTTTTTGGTCAGTTCCTTCACATGGCTCTTTGTCCTTCTCTTTTCGGCTCCCCTCTCTTTCTCTCTTTGTCTCTCTCTCTTTTCCTTCTCACTAATTTTATTATTTTTAAAAACTCTCTCTATCATTCCATCATCTTCTTCATCTCTGTAAACAGAGAGGCCAAAAGGCCAATGACCTTCACCTCCATTTCTCCGACAAACCACCTTATTCGACCAAATCAAACCCTGGAAAGTCGAACCTTAAACCTCTGGGACATGAGAAATTCACCGATAGCTTTGCATGCACCATCAGAGCACCCTCATGTGCTCTACCATTAACACCAAGAGCTTGAGCTCTCTCAAACTCCTCCTTAGGTAAGGTTCTAATCCTCAACATGGATTTCATGGGTTATAATCTTGTTCGTGCTTTGTTTCTATGTCGAAATTTCAAGGGTTAAGACCCTGTTATGAATCTATGCATGCATGTCTTCCCCCCGACGAAATGTCGTAGAGTTCGAAGTTGGTGGGCGTTCCCAACACATCAAATCTTTCACTCTATGTCTCTGTGATAGATTGCGTAGAAGCCATTTGAGCCCTAACCTCTACATGCACATCTCTATCTCTTTTCTAGTTTTCGACGAGGTGAATAGACAAACTTCGGCGACCTCCGCGATATTCAGGCCATTTTTTGGCCAAATCATGGTGATTTAACAGTCTAGAAGGGTATGAATCTGTTTGTCTTGTTTCGGGGTATGATTTTTGTTTTTGAATCACTCAATTTTGTTATGAATTGACAAAGTTATGGACGTTTAAAATTTATCTAGTTTTTTGGCGAGTTACCCAGTTTTCAACAGACCAGTCACCTTTCAGGCCATTTTCCGACCATCTCCAGCCACTTTTTGAACTCCAAATAGGTACAACCTTGTTCTACACTTTTCTAGTTTCATTTTGATATATTATGGGCAAAATTTGGTTATGAAATGGCTCTGAACGGAGCGTTTGAATTCCTCCCTAGATTTTCCAGCGAAAATCTGCAACAAACCAGAAGAAAAAAAAAAAAACAAAAAAAAAACCTCAAGCCCAAACCCAGGCCAAATCTTTGGGCCTTGGTTCCAACCTAGCCTGACCCATCTCCAAAAAAAAAGAAAAGCCCAAACCCGAACAGGCCCAAACTTATAACTTGGATCCGTAGGCCAGATGCGATCCGGTTCCCCTTGGAATGTTCCATTAACTCCTAGTTAACTTTAACAGAATATTCCTTCTGAGGAGGGAATATTTCTCAAAAATTTGATGTGATAAAAGATAGCACACAAATTAAACCCTCTTTTTGACAATTGTAGTATAGATATAAGTAGGGATCGTTCTAGGCCAGGGATTATGAGGGATTGCTAATCTAATGAAAATTGACTCAAAGAAGTGAAAATATGCTTTAAAACACTTTAAATAGACTCACAAGACTCTTACTAACTTATATGACTCAAAACAAACTTTAAAGACTCAAAACAACTTAAAACAACCAAAAAGACTCAATTTAGACTTTAGGACTCAATTTGGACGAAAATACACTTAGTTTTGAATCTAAAGACTCAAAAAGACTCTTTTGGACAGATTTGGAACAAGTAAGAAAAGGGGTTTTGATTTTGGACGAATTTAAAAGAAAACAAGTAACTTAAAACTTTAAAACAGATTTTGGACGAATTTGAGAAAAACTAATGGATGATGGGATAGCCAAGGGATACTTCTCCACACATGATACTTTCTAACATAAATTGACTTCCAGTTGCTTTTTCGATAAACCATGAACCTCAACACCCCAGATTAACCGTGACATCACTAATTAACCCTCAGATTTCCCTTAAGTTAGTGGATTGGATGACATCATACGACAACCCAAAGCATTCTCCAAAACGTCCCCTACATGACATCATAATAGAGATACGGTCAAAGATCATTACGTTCAATGGAAATCATAAATATTGACAAAGCACTTGTAACTATGACATCATGATACTCATGCTAGGAATTTACTTAACATGATTGTGAAAACAACCTTAACTACTTGTGGATATTAGTTTGTGACGATTATGTGAAACACCCTAATATTCTAGCCCCAAATTCAAGCATGCAAATTAAGTAGGCCTCCCTAATAAACATACAAGAATAAGTTATCCGTCAAACAGTTAAGTAAATTGCGTTCATAGTTTATGAAATCACAACTGGACTTAATCAACTCATATTATAAATGTAATCATGGTTTCAAAGCATCCCTAGGCTAAAACGAGTTTAGCCTCTCATGTTCATGACAAAACAAATCAATATAGAATTAAACATTGAAAATAAAAGATAGATTACACCTAGAAACGTCCAACACTCCAACTCGAATGCACAAAGGCCCAAGGCTTGGTCTTCCTTCTCCTCTTCCTTGCTAAGTCACGGCACAAGGTCTATGGTGGGTTTGTGGATGATTTTCTGGGTTTTGGATGGATTTGGGTATGTATGGTGGTGCAGCAAGGGTTGATGGTGGTGTATGGAGGTTGGGATGGAGGTGTGGAAGTAGGGGAATGATGGATGGGTGGTTGTAAGGTCACGACAAAGGGTGGATTTCTGAATG